TGTATATATCTGTTAGATCCATTTGGGCTATAGTGTCGGTTAAATCTACTGTATCCTTGTTGATCTTCTGTCCTATTGATCTGTCTATTTCTGAGAGTGGAGTATTGAAGTCCCCCAGTACTATTGTATTGGGGTCTAAGTCTCCCTTTAAGTCCGTTAACAAATCTTTTAGATAAACCGGCGCCCTGTAGTTAGGTGCATATACATTGATAATTGTTATATCTTCCTGTTGAATTGATCCCTTAATCATTATGTAGTGTCCCTCTTTGTCTCTCTTAACGGTTTTTGTGGTAAAGTTTATGGTGTCTGATATTAAGATGGCTACGCCTGCTCTTTTTTCATTTCTGTTGGCATGGTATATCTTTTTCCAGCCTTTCACTTTCAGTCTGTATGGATCTTTGTTGGAAAGATGTGTTTCTTGTAAGCAGCAAATAGATGGGTTTTGTTTTTTAACCCAATCAGCCAAACGGTGTCTTTTAACTGGACAGTTCAGGCCATTCACGTTCAATGTGACTAATGATAAGTGGTAACTTTGCCCTGCCATTTGCCAAAGATAAGTTCTAATATATGCTTTGAATTCCCTGTGATCTTTTGCTGTGAGCTTTCCTTCCTTGGTTTCCTTCCTTTACCTTCTTTCATATTGATGACCGTGTTTCTTTGTTTCTGTGTGTAACACATCTTTAAGCATCTTTTGCAGGGCTGGACGAGTGGCAACAAATTCTTTCAATTTCTGTTTGTTATGAAAAGTCTTTATTTCACCTTCATTCACAAATGATAGCTTTGCAGGATATAATATTCTGGGCTGGCAGTTTTTCTCTCTTAGTACCTGGGCTATATCTCGCCATTCCCTCCTAGCTTGTAGAGTTTCTGATGAGAAGTCAGCTGTGAGTCTGATTGGAGATCCTCTGAGAGTAATCTGACGTTTCTCTCTTGCACATTTTAGGATCTTTTCTTTATGTTTCACTGTGGAGAGTTTAATTACAACGTGCCGTGGTGAGGGTCTCTTTTGGTCGTGTTTATTAGGGGTTCTGTGAGCTTCCTGTACTAGGATTTCTCTGTCCTTCTCCAAACCTGGGAAATTTTCTGCTAATATCTCACTAAAAAGGCCTTCTAATCCTTTCTCCCTCTCCATGCCTTCAGGAACTCCTAGAACCCGAATGTTGGGTTTTTTAATAGTATCCTGAAGATTCCCGACAATATGTTTTAGATTCCTAATTTCCTCTTCTTTTCTTTGGTCTGACTGTATCCTTTCCTGTTCTCTGTCTTCTAAGTCCGATATTCTCTCTTCTGCTTCACCCATTCTGTTTGTAAGGCTCTCTATTGTGTTTTTCATTTGATCTATTGAATTCTTCACTTCAGTCACTATCCCAGTTTCCTGTTGTACTAGTTGTTTCGTTTCATTTTGATTCCTCCTTAATATTTCATTTTCACGAGAGAGATTTTCTATCTTGTCCATTAAGGATTTCTGTAGTTCAAGAATTTGTTTTTGAGAACTTCTTAATGTTCTTATCAATTTTTTTGAGATCTGCTTCTTGCATTTCTTCTATGTCATCATCCTCATAATCTTGAATTGGGGTGTCTTTTTCATTTGAGGGCTTCATGGTGACTTCCTTGTTTTTATTACCTTGGTTTTTGCGTTTGTTATTTGTCATATTGGAGATATTTGGTTTCTTCACTGTGGTGCTTTTTCTTGTTATACTATGACTCTAGATTAAGTGGACTATCTGTTTTTGATGGAGCCTTAGGGCTTGAGATGGGTGTGGCCTGAGAGCTCTGTTTGGTGTGCCAAAGGTGACACTCCCAGGTTAGGCATGGTAAACCTCTCTCTCTCTCTCTCTCTCTCTCTCTTTTTTTTTGATTCAAAAGGGAAGTTATTCTGCACAGCTGAACGAAGTTGGAGGTAGTTAGCAGGCAAATGATATACCCACAGGAGCCAGAGATCAGAAGCTCTTTCCCAAGGACCACACAGGGAATCTGTTCAGCCCTTAGAGTAGGCTCAAATTCTCCTTCAGTCTCCCACTGGGTTGCCAAAGTTACGGAATTGTAGCGTCTCTGGAGAGTGCTCACGTGAATTCCGTGAGTTCTCTCCCCCACCGTCTCTTTTTTCACAGTCTCAGTTCAGTAGCACCATAAATTTACTAGGTCCTAATCTCCTGTTAATTCGCCCCACCCAGAGTCAGGTTTTACTGCTAGGCTCAGGGCCGGTGCAGACCTGAGGTCGCTCTGCTTATGACGTATGTCCAAGATGGCGCCTGCTCTTTGTCTTGCTCGCCCTTGAGAGGTGAGCGGAGAGAGAGAAACCCGTGTCCGTACCAGTCACCTTTTTTTTTTCCCTCTCTCTCTCTTCCAGTTAGCTTGGTGAAGTCCCCCCCCCCCGGGGGGTCGTTCCCTCTAGTCTCCTCTCTCCGCTTGCCTGCCGGTGTCTCGGGTTATTGAGGTTTGGCTCACCTCGCGTTCCAGCGCTGGTGTGTTGAGTCTGCCGCTGGTGTCCCGAACTGTGGGCTCCCACGCTCTCCACGCAGGTCTGCTCCCCTTCCAGCGCCGATGTGTGGACTCGGAGCCCTGGACGTCCCAAGTCTCCCCGCTGTTGCACTCCCCTTCGAGCACTTGCGCGCAGACCCTGCAGCTTGCGCAGCTCAGTCCCGCGGCTCGGCTTCCGCGGCTCAGTCCCGCGGCTTGGTCCTGCGGCTCGGCTTTCGCGCGCGGTGGGCGACCTTGTTCTCCCAGTAGGTCCTCCGATTCACGCCCACTGGATCCAGAAGAGTTTTGTCTGCAATATTTTCCTGGTTCTTTTTTCTGAGGCTACTGTAACTCCCCTTTTATTAAACTAAATTTTCCCGGACTATCGGTGCGCGCCCTCACTATTCCGCCATCTTGGCTCCGCCGTCCGGTTTTTTTTTTTTTTTTTATCTTTTATTTAATGAATATAAATTTCCAAAGTACGACTCATGGGTTACAATGGCTCCCCCCCCCCCCATACCGTCCCTCCCACCCACAACCCTCCCCTTTCCCACTCCCTCTCCCCTTCCATTCACATCAAGATTCATTTTCGATTATCTTAATATACAGAAGATCAGCTTAGTATACATTAAGTAAAGAAACTATACCGCAGTAGAATAGATTTACAGAAAGTTACCAGTGACCTCCCAGTAGATACTTGTTAGTCTCCATTTTTCTTGAATGTTCAATGGCATTGGACATAATTGACAACTCTCTCCTTGAAATATTCTCTTGTCTTGTTTTTCATGGCGTTATATACTTCTGCTTTTCTGCTTTGCTGGTCTCAGTCTCTCTCTCTCTCTCTCTTTTTAGATGCTAGTGCTCCTTAAGAGTTTGTCCTGGCTCTTTTCACTTCCTTTCAAATACCCTTAAAGCAAGCTCCAGGCAGCATGTGTGGATAATTCCTACACCTTTACTGGATCTCCTTTCTGAGCTTTGCACAATTATGTCCAGCCTTCTCCTATGTTGTTCTACTTTCTTGTTCTTTGTTGACTCAAATATATTTATTTGGGGACTGTTTGGCATTGTGCTAGAGCTCTCACTATGGAGATATGTTATGTATCTCCAATGGAATGTGATCAAAGCAATTCATGAACATACCCACTGCTAGAAATAAGCAAGTAAAAACCTGAAACATCCATAATAAAGCCTCCACCTTCATTATTCTCATTCAACTGAACTCCACCTAGTTTTTTTAGCTTGAAACGTTGGCATCAATCATTGCTTTTCTTTTCATCTAAGGACTTCCTCTATCCTCATCCAGTCCAAGCCAATCAGTGTAGTCTAATGTAATACATTGTGACTAAGATCTGGCCATTTCACCTTCCAAGGATCTTTCTAGTACATCTGCTCTTTGCCTCTATCTCCTTTTTCATTGCTAAATAACCTAGATCAAGCTACCATCATTTGACTTCCACATTAGCTTCAATGGTCTTAAATACATTCACTTTTTAAAAGAAATTGCTTATTTATTTGAGAGCAGAGATATGAGAAAAGAGCGAGATCAAGTGAGTGAGCAAGTTCCCCTTCCCTGGTTACTTCCCAAATGTTTACGTTAGTATGTAGGTATGAGAAGTAGGGCTCCTAGTCCGTCTCTTAACCACTAGGTCAAATGCCTGCTCCCTGTATTCACTTTTGATTGCCACCTAGCAATTCACCACACGACTGCAAGCATGGTTTAAAAATATTCCTTAATTCCTCTGTCTCACTTTTCTTATCTGCAAAATTGGGATAGTAATAGCCTTTCTGTAGTAGGGTTATTATGAGGATAAAAGAACTACTTTGTATAACATAGTTAGCATAGTGTTAGATAATAGATCCTTAGTGAATTGTGTGTATATGTGGTTTTAAAAACTATTTATTTATTTGAAATGCAGATTGGTAGGGGTGGGGTGGGAGGAGACTGAAAGAGGGAAGGAGAGGGAGAGAGCAGGAAAGAGAGAGAGAGACAGAGAGAGAGAGAGAATGAGAATGAATCTTCTGTCTGTTGGTTCCATTTCTAAATGGCTGCAATGGTGGGGCTGGCATAGGCTGAGATTGGGTGTCTATAACTCTATCTGGGTCTCCTATGTGGGGGACGGGGCCCAAGTACTTCTTCCGCTGCTTTGTCAGTCACATTAGCAGGGAGCTGGATGGGAAGCAGTGCAGTTAGGACTCAAAACGGAACCCTGATATGGGATGATGGTATTGCAGGGTGTGGCTTATCCCACTGTTCCACAATGCCAGCCTTGTCAGTAAATTTGTTAATGAGAAATTGTTAATGAGATCTTGTGTAGTATTTTTTTTTAAAGATTTATTTATTTGAAAAGCAGAGTGACACAGAGGGAGTGACAGGAGAGACAGTGTTTTTTATTAAGCCAAATAAAAGGTATGATTAAGACAAAAAGATCTATTAGTAATTTATTATCTCACTTATAATTGTCCTGTATGTGTTTGTACAAAAATATGCAGCTCTTATAATACGTGACCTTATTATGTATAATTTTTTTCTTAATTAAAAGGCTAAGAAGCACCAGGCCTTCCTAGTAGAGACATGTGAAAATAACGTGAAAGAATTGGAATCGATCTTGGACAGCTTTACTGTGTCGGGCCAGTGGACATCAGGTTAGTTGAAGGTATAAAATGACAGATGCATCTGTCAGTGTTCCAAAGTCACTACATTTTGGGAATTCTGCAGATGCCTCTTATAGTCCCTTATCTCAACATGCTTTGATTTGATGACATGATAAGAGCAGTTCTCACAGCAGTCAGTTGGCCTAGCTGGCTGAGAAAGGGTGACGGAATGTGGACCTGCTGTTGTCCTCCCAGAACTTGATTTACAAGTGTTGGGGTCTGCATGATTGGACAGACAGGGCTCACTTGCTGTGTTCTGAATCCAACTGAGAAAAAAGTCCTTACAGTATACCTGCAAGGGGAACAGATGTTTCTATCAACCAGAGCCAAATTCTGAGGCAACCTTCAGCAACTTAAAGGTCATGCATTCAAAAGGTTATGTAGGACACAGGCTGTAACATAGTGCATGTTCAATACTGTTGCTTTCTAACCTGGTTCTCACTTTCATTTCTTACTATCATGTACGTATGCTCTCTGGGTAAGAGTGCTTAGATAAATTCTTTTGGTTTTAGAATTAGCTCTGGTAATATGAAGAACTATAAAAACCACTTATGGATGTATTTTGGGAACTAGCAAAAGTATTAGTTGTATTATCAATTCTGTTCACCATTTCTACTTTATGTTTATGCCATTAAGGATGCTATCCAAGCTTTGACTTAAATTCTTTTACTTTTCCCCCTCAATTTTCTGTCAACCTTGAATTATTTAGTTGTCTTCTGCCACAATTATATTCTTCAAAAAGCACATAAAATTTAAGTAGTTACACTTTCAAATTTAGCTGCTTTTATTAAAAGGAATCAAACTGTAATTTGGCTAAACACTTTGGAAAACTCAGAAATTCAAGAAAGTTTGTTGTCCTTGAGAAAGCAGAAACATCCGATCAGAGTGCATTTTTCACCTTGTGGTCTATAGATCTCTCAGTTGGTGACTATTAGGAATTTAGTGTGCTTTAGTCTGCCTTTATCCTTCATACATTTTTAGCTATAATTTTGTGAAATTAATGTACAGCTCTTTTTCAACTGCTCCATAAAGTGTTAGTGTTTCATAGATTGTATCTGGAAAACTTAAAGTGTATAAATGTACCATAAAAAATGTAGGTATATGGACAGGCATGTGGCTCAGCAGTTAAGTTGCCACCTGGGATGCCTATATCCCATATCATAGTGCCTGGTTCAAGTCCTGGCTACTCTACATCTGATCCAGCTAATGTGCACCCTTGGAGACATCAGCTAATGGATCAAGTACTTGGTCCCCTGCTACTCACAAGGGAGACCCAGACTGAGTTCTGGGTGCCTGACTTTGTCCTGCCACAGACCTGGTATTTGGGAAATGAGCCAGTAGATGGATGCTATCTCTGTATCTGCTGTCTCTCTCTGCCTTTCAAGTAAAATGAAAATAATTGAAAACAATGGAGGTTTTCAGCTTTAAATTATGTTTGATAAAACTTTGGAGGATGAAATATTCTCTTGCAGTAGTACTTTTTTTTTAAATGAGATGTATCAGTGGTGTTTAATGAGGTTAGACTCTTTGCAAGTTGTTATATATTTTAGTAGGTATTTCTTATTCTTCAATATTATTTTAAATATTTATTGGGAATCAAGTAAGAAAAATTAAGAATAATGAGGTCATCTCTCCTCTGAGTTTTAAAATGAAATAATTGATAACAGAGTCACTCAAAATTTACTAGTAAGTCTACAGAAAAAGAATTGTCTTCCATTGAAGTTATTCTTTTTATTTTTAAGCAGTAACCCTGTTTTAACTTCCTAGTTTCTCATATATTTGCACACTCTAATAATACAGAGAATATATTCTAGGAAAAGGACTATGCACTGTATTACTGAGCTATGGATTATTACAGAGCAGTCTTGGTTTGCATGTTGTGCTGGTTATTCACGCTTTACCCTCTTGGTCTTCATTTCACCTTGTGCCTTACTTAGGAGGCTAGCTTCTGTGGTTCTGGGCTCTTTGCCCTCTGACTTCATGTTGAATTTGGACAGTGGGTGTATAACAGGAGATAGGGAGAGTGGGAGAAGAAGTTAGGTTATTTGTTTCTTCTGGCCCTCTCCTCCAGTGCATTCCTGGCTGTGGCTTCATCTTTGAACAGGTACAGTTCCTGTCCAGTGGATCGTCTTTTGTAGATGTGGCTCTTGTTGGACTGTAGTGATGGTGTTCCTTCCACTTGACCCTTTGGGCTTGGGCAGGATATCAGTTTTCCATTTTCCACTCTTGCTTGTTCTGGGTACCTTATCATATCTCATTGATTCTGTCAACCTGTCTACATTTCTGTAAATAGTCAATCTATTTAGTTCTCTTTGGATGAACTGTTCTGAGTGTGCCATTTAATTTCCTTTATATTTAACAAAGATTTATATGTTTACTTATTTATTCGAAAGTCAGAGTTATGAAGGGAGAAAGAGCGAGAGAGAGAGAAGGAGAGAGAGAGATAATGTGCACACACAATCTTCCATCCTTTGATTCACTCCCCAAATGGCCATAATGGCCAGGGCTGGGCCAGGCCAAAGCCAAGAGTCAGGAGCTTCATTTATGTCTCCCATGTGGGCCAACTTCCACTGCTTTCCCAAGCACATTAGCAGAGAGCTGGATTAGAAGCAGAGCAGCTGGGTCCTAAACCAGCACTCATATGGGATGTACCAGCATTGCAAATGGTGACTAAACCAACAGTGCCACATTCTGGCCCTGCCATCTAATTTCATGTTGGCACCTTTATGGATTCACATACCTGGTGTCATTCCTGCTCTTTACCTCCACAAATCCTGATTAGGCTGGCTTTTTATTTCTTAACCAACAGGGTTGTAACTAATAACTTCTGTTGCTTACTATTTTAACGAAGAACCCAATCAGTGAAGACAATGTACTTCATCAAGCCTCACTTTGATTATGCAAAGATGACCAAATATTTTATGCTTTCCAAATGAAGAAATGGAAAAACTTTTCCCAGGATAATTCAAGTATACGTGCACATATACATGCACCCACAAGAGGTTACTTCAGAAAATTAATGGAAAATGGAATTTAAATATGTTTATTTTGGTGCAAAGAAAACTTGTGAAATCCATGTACATGAGGACTATTAATAATTCATCGAAATGTATATTACAAACAACCGCAATATGTGGATTTCAATTTTTTTTGTCAAAATAAACTTTTACTTTGATTTTCTGCAAACTTTTTGAAGTATCTTCATTTTTATCTCATGGTGTGTGTGTTTGTGTGTGTGTGTATGTGTGTGTGTGTGTTTACATGTATGTGTATCTTTGAGAGAAAGTCAACTTCAAATATAGACATATTCTTATTTTGTGATGGTAATGCAGTCTTAGAATTTATAACAAAATTATTCAGTTGTCTTGGCTGAGTTTTCCAGAGATACTCTTATAGTAATGGTAAAATGCAAAGATGCATTATCTCTCTCTCTCTTTGTTTTTAAGATTTTATTGATTTATTTCAGAGGTAGAGTTAGAGACAAAGAAAGGGAGAGACATCTACTAGTTCATTCCCCAAATGACCGCATTGATTGGAGCTGAGCCCATCTGAAGCAAGGAGCCAAGAACTTTTTCCAGATCTCCCACATGGGTGTAGGGGCCCAAGCACTAGGGCCTTCTTCTGCTGTCTTCCTAGGCAATCAGTAGAGAGCTGCATCAGAAGAGGAGCAGCCAGGACACAAACTGGTGCCCATATGGGATACTGGCACTGCAGGCGGAGGCTCAGCCTGCTGCGCCACACAACACCAGCCCCATGTTGTCTTTTTTCTTTTATGACCTCTCTTTGTTATTCAGTTCAGTACCTCCTATTTCAGGAAAAGTCATACATAGTAGAAGGTTAGGGGCATAGTGACAAAATTGGTTTTTTGATTTGCTTTTTAAAACAAAATGAATAAAAATTGTTTTCTTAAAACCACTTTGTTAGTTCAGTTTTGGCAGTAGTTGCCAGGTTTTCTGTTCTCAGGCTAGAGATTTTATAGTCTTTTACATTAAGAAATTTTTCCAAAAGATTTATTTATATTACTTGAAAGCAGAGTGACACAGAAAGAGGAGAGACAGAAAGAATATCTTTTGTTTGCTGGTTTAATCCCTAAATGCCTGCAACAGCCAGTATTGGGCCTGGCTGAAGCCAAGAGCCAGGAATACCATCTGTGTCTCCTACATGGGTGGCAGGGGCCCAAGAATTGGGTCATCATCCATGGCTTTGTCAGTCACATTAGCAGGGAGGTGGATCAGAAGCAGAGCAGCCAGGACACTGATGGCTTAAACTGCTGTGCCGCAGTGCTGGCCCCAAGAAACTTTTTGAAGCAAGTGTAACCTGTCAGCTTATCTTTAGGTAGTAGCTCTGGCAAAACTTGTTAGATCTAGATGTTCAGGAATTTATTTACTTGTCCTACAGGATCTAACTTGATCTCCCCTCCTGTCATCCTTGTGGCAGTTGGCACCTGGTCTTCTAATACCTCCAGCACCTGCATGGTTACTAACTGGTCTCTGCTTCCACCTTTGCTCCTCTTTAGTCTGTTTGTCAATAGCCCTGAGGAAAATAATTTGAAAAGCTAAGTAGGAAACTTTAAGTTACAAGATGAGTAAGTTTTGAGTATCTGATGACTATAGGTAATGATACTTTCTCCATCCAATTGAGCCTCTGCTTGGGATATTCACATCCCATATTGGAATACCTGGTTCAAGTCCCAGCTACTTCATTTCTAATCTAGCTTCCTGCTAATGCAACCAGTAGGCAGCAGATCATGATTCCAGTACTTGAGTCCTTGCTGCTTACATAGGAGAATCTACATGGAGTTCCTTGCTCCTGGCTTCTTCCTGACCCAGCCCTGGCAATTACAGACATTTGGAGAGTGAATAAGCAGATGGAAGATCCATTCTCCTTTCCCTCTCCCACCTTCCTCTCTTTCTGTCACTCTGAGTTCCAAATAAAAAATAAACCTAAAAAAAAAGACCTTAAAAAGGCAAAACTGTATAGAGTATTTGAAA